CGCCCGGAATTGGAGTTATACAGGTTATGAGTCAGCATGTGATCCTCTGCAAGAAGTGCTCTTAACTGCTGAGCCATCACCCCATCCTTTTGCTTTTTTATTTTATTTTAAAACTCAGCTACCAGGAAGGTAAAAATGATCCACAAGGCTCAAATATGTGACTCACAATCTTCTTGGATTGGACCATGCTGGGGCAGAATGCTTCAGACTGCCCAGGGATTCACAGGGAATCCCTATCATGTTCTTTGAGAAGTGTGGGTTTCTGGGTTACTTCTTCATGCTTATTGGGAGCTCCATAGATGTTTGTGTCCTGGACAGGAAGGAGGTACTCCATGTTTCTGAAACTGCAATACCCTCTTGCCTTTTATCCTAGCAGTCGGCCGTCTGGACCAGGGTCAAAGGGTCATGAAGAGGGCCTGAGATCTGAGGCATCAGAGATCGTCTGGGTTGTCTGAGTTGTGGGAGGTTTACTCTGTCTCCCTTCCCATCTTCCTGTTGTGGTTGAATCTGGTTCTCTGGGTTGCCCTCCAAAAAGCACAGCCCATAGGTTCTGTGCTAGATATAAACTTCAGAAACTTGATCCAAGCTGTGGTCTGCAAATAACTCTCAACTGCATCCTGTCTCGACCGTGGGGATTGGAGAAAACAGGGCATGAAGGAAACACTATCAGTTCGCAAGGGAGAAAATGTAAGAACTAGTTTTAGGTACCTGGCATTCAGGATCTGAACTCAGCATCACTTGCTCTGAAACATCCTGCACTGGCCAGCATCATCAGGAGGCATTGAACACCCAGAGAATCCTGTTTCACACTCAAAAAGATGAGCCTCCTTCACTCTGTCGCTTGTGCCTCTCTGGCACCTTCCTACGTTTCTAAATTCTAAACCTTACATGTGGGGTGTGGGGGACAGGGCACATACCCTTGTGTTGAAAGCCAAGGCGGTGGGGTTTTGTGTGTCATTGTTTTTTTTTCTTGTGATTACACTTCCCTACCAGAAGCAATGAATTGCCTCCATGTATAGACCTCACAGAAACCCTAAAGGAATCTCAGATCCCTCAGGTGTGCAATGTGAATGCTACATGAAAGAAACACGGATAGAATAGACTCTAATGCAAACGTGTGGCTCAGGGAACCCTGCAGGCTTTGTGGGTAGTGGGTGGCCCTTGAGTGTCAGCAGATCTGTGATCTGATGACACACCATGTGTCTAGGTGCTCTGAGGGAAACCAGAAATCTGGGACCCCTTTGCCTCCTCTTAGGACTTCATACCTTGTTTCACATTGCTTAAGAGTCTGAAGGCACTTTTGGGAACCACTGGCAATGGTTCTTTTTAAAGCAGTCTTCAATAAACACACAGAAATAGAAGCTTCTGCCTCAGATGGTTATGTCGTATTGCTGTGGCCTGCTGTCTGTGGCCTTCCCCAGCCCTGAGGTAGAGATGCTCAGAGTTACACTCCCAAGCCATCACTTCCTCCCTGCTCTATTGTGGCAGCCTCAAGCCTTCTTGTCACCTGCCCCAGTACAGTCAGCTGCCTGTGGGCCCCAACCCCTTGCTTGCTGTAAGTGCAAATCTCAATACAAATTAGCAGCAGCCGTATGAGCAAAGTGAATGGCCAAACCTCTTCCCCCTCCAGAGCTCCCCGCCTCCCCTCTCTCTTGTTTTCCTCGAGCCCACTTCATAGGCGCCAGCTGCCTCATTAAAGAGCAGCCTTTTATGCTAGGCTTCACCTGGACAGGCAGTGGTCACCAAGCCCATGGCTGTGCTGTCTGGCTGAAGCAAAGAGGATGAAGGCGAATCTGGCAGGCAAGTGCACAAGCCAGCGAGGTATGGTTTCCTTCTCACCCTGAACTAGAGTAGCATGGCCAGACAGCTCTACAAGGGCAAACAAAGGTCTTGGGTGGGCGTCAGGCTTTTTTTCTAAGGAAGTCCCTTTTCAGGCCTTGATGGCAACTGTCTGGGAACAAGAAAGGGCCCTTATTCCAAAGAAGCCCAGGGAGGGGCAGCCAGACAGGTAACAAGCCTCTAAGGTACAGCTGGAAGAAGGCCGGAGTAGGAGGAGTGACAGCTAGGATTTCTGGGAGCTAGTGAATGGAGTGCCACTTACTGGTCAGTTAGACATTGCCAGCAGTGGAACCCAGGGGACCTCTGCTCTTCTGCACCTGCTTCCTGCCCCCTGCCTCTGGCACCCTCATCATTGATCACTATTAGGCAAGCTTTGTTTTGTGTCTTATCTTTTATTTTTTTTTATTTTACTCTGCAGAATGGGGACAACCTTGCCACCCATGCCCACCGTGCACAGCTCTAAACCATAAGGATCACTAATTTGGGCACTGTTGAGGTTCTAACCTCTGCCTGGCAAGAAGCCAATTTTAAATGCAGAAATTCCAAGGCCCTACTCTTATGAAAAAAAACATTTTGAAATTCTTCTCCCCAGTATTCATAAAATTGATAAAGGGAGGCCTTGGAATAGGCCCCTCTTCCGCTACCACTGAACCTGGCTGTCTGGCTTTGGGCATCGTGCACGGGAAGCGTGTGTGTGCTGCCCACCCCACCCACCACCGAAGACCCTGGCAGCCAGTGAAAACCCCACTATCTTGGTTTCAGGCCAAGTTAATTCTCCAAGCTTCTCTGGTATTTGGATGGTTTCACATCTGACAAGAATCTGGGGAAGACAACAAGACTGTGGTGGTGTGAGTTCCTACGTGTGGATGTATGTGTGTGTGTTAGCACATACATGCATATCTGTGATGGACGGTATGCATTTAGCTAACTATGTGTGTGTGATAGCCTATGATTGTGTGTATGCCTATATACATATAGGTGGTAGAGTGTATATATGTGATTAATATGATAGAGTATGTATGACTGTATGGATGTGCGTATGGAAGTACATGTGTATACATGTGTATTGTGTGTGTGGACTATGGTTATGTGTATATGTGTGTGTGTGTGTACTGTGTAAGTAGCATGCGTGTTGACATAGGTATGAACATGTGTATATGTGGTAGAGCATATGGATATACACATATGTGTTAGCAGTGTGTAAGTGGTATGTATGGTAAAGTGCGTAGGGTGTAGTGAATTGTTTGCATGTGTGTACATATGTAGTAAACTTAGAGTCTGAATGTCTTCACTATGTATATGTGTGCTGTGTATGGTGAAATATATGTGTGAATGTGTATGCATGCATGCACATAGTTTTCCTGGGGGGTGGGGCAGAGTGCTCAGGCCAACTCAGCTTAGACACAGGCAGCCAGGTCTGACTGGGGCTGCTTCATCTCAAGCCAAGTCCTTCAACAGCAGAAGCCAGAGGGCCAAGCACTGGTGAAAAGCTCCGACGTGCTACCGCCTCCCCTCCGACTGCCATGGGGACATTAAACCTTCAACAATCTGGGACTCTGACGGCTGGTTCTTGGTTCTCTGCCTGGAAAAACAGTAGGCAAATAGTAAAACCTTAAATTCTAACATGTGTAAGTTATACATCTTATTTTCATTTTCAGCCCATGTTTTCCTCAGTAAGACATCAGGAAAAAATTACCGTCTGCCTTCTAATATCTCAGTGGAGCATTTATCTCCCAGCCATGATAAGTGATCTGCAATATTTTTTTCCTTTCAGATTAAGAAACAAATTCATTTAATTTTCTTTATTGAATGTGCTCAGGCCTCCCCACTCTGCCTGACTCTCAGGAGTCCTGGATTGTTCCCCCTCCTCCTGGTGACTGCTCTCCTGGCAGTGGGGATGGGTGGCTCCCCAGAACTCTGTAAGGGCTCTCACTCTATTCCTGCCCACTGTGGAAGACACAGAGCAGAGTGACTGTAGACAGTAGCCAGGTCAGGGGACTAGGGAAGGGTTAGCAAGCCGAGCTGGCACACTGTAATCTAGACCTTGTTGGGTCTCCTTGATTTGAAGGCTGGGTTTGGCACTCTCAAGAGAACTGGCCATCTCCCAGGATGCCAGGTTGATGTTTGCCACCTGGCATTACCATACCACAGCCCTCACTTACCTTCTAGGAGTCTGCTATGGTTCTGCTTCTTGGAAGGACCGAGAGCTGGGCAAGTTGGAATGGCACCTCTCCTGGCATGCTGAGAGTGCCATGATGTTATGCTGAAGGTCACTGGGGATCCATAGAGTGTTCTGTGTGTACTCAGCTGCATGAGCTGACCACAGGAGGCTTGTCCATCTAGCTCTCCAGCCCATTGCTCAGTGCCAGATGCTGCAAATATCAGATGCTAACTGGGCTGTGTTGTTTTAGTCCAAGATGGGTGATGTGCTTTCCCTGTCGTGGGTGTCCATATTGCTTCTTCTGGGAACCGGCTGCTCATGGCCATGAAACACTACAAGAGTCATTGCACTTCAGATGGCAGTCCTGGGTTCTATTCCTCTTCCTTACATGGCCCAGCTCTTCTGTATGTAGACTTAATTGAGAAGCTTAACGCTGGGTACCTAACGCATCCACCTTTACTAGCTATGTGATTCGGCCTGTCACCACACCTTTCCATTTTGGTAGCCATAAAGGGGATGTAGTAACCCATGATCCACAGATCTGATAGGGTTACTGAGAAATCCACATAAAGCAAACAGCAGATGAAAAATGTATTAAAATGGTATATGTGCATTAGAAATAGCTGGACCAGCAGGTGATGACACTATGTCAAGAAACAGCAATGACAGGCCACAGGCCACACTGACCTTCTCATACAGTGACCAGACCTGTAACCAAGGGAGATGTAAAGTGCTATAGGACTGTGGAGAAGGACTGTCTCAGAAAACGGTGAAAATGGGAAGTGTTGGTCACTGGCAATCTGGTTGAAACTGGACACTTCAGACAAACTGGGCTTATGACGGAATCAGACTGTGTTCTACACAGAGGATGGCAGTAAGATTTCATCATCATTGTCATCATTATCCCATGGGTGTCTAAGTGACTGGCCAACCCTGCTGAAGCTGGATTGAGATGTTCCCACAGTGATGATTTTTTGTTCTTTGTCTCGTCTCATTCCAGGGAGTCTCCAGTGGACTGCAGCGTCAGCAAATGCAACAAGCTGGTAGGCGGAGGTGAAACCAACCCCATGAACTATAATAGCTACATGGATGAGAAGAATGGCCCCCCTCCTCCCAACATGACCACCAACGAACGGAGAGTCATTGTGCCCGCAGGTACCTTGGCAACCAACTACCTGGCCTGTGCCCACATTTCCATTATTTGGGAGCTGTAGTGAAAGAATAGGCCTGTTCCTTTGAACATGGAAACCCTACTTAGGTGCCTAGTCTTCATGGAAATGCAAACCAGAGAAATTAAAACATCCCCCCCCCCCCCCACCCCCCCACTCCCCCATCCCCCC